ATCTGTATATCCGTACTTAAACATATATGTCATCTTCTGCTTACTTGTTTCTGACTGCCACAGGGCTTTAGGGTTCTATGCACAGATATGGACAAGAAGAAGGAACCATGCTAAACCCTGAACCCTAAACCCTAAACCCTAAACCCTAAACCCTAAATAAACCCTAAAACCTAAACCCTAAACCTGAATCGTGCTCACTCAATGCTCACAGTGCTTCCGTTGAGGGCTCTCATGTGCTAGGGCGCTTGTTGGCCACCAGGGCAATTCTTCGAAAATCCCCACACCCTAAACCCTAAACCCTAAACCCTAAACCCTCAAACCCGAAACCCTAAACCCTAAACCCTAAACCCTAAACCCTAAACCCTAAACCCTAAACCCTAAACCCTAAACCCTAAACCCTAAACCCTAAACCCTAAACCCTAAACCCTAAACTCAAACTCTACACCCTACATAAACGTTGAGGCCCCTCTACCCTCTTGGGAGTTTGTGGGAGTTGCAGGCCTTGCTTCGTGATACAACTAACTTCGGGATGCTTTTGGGGCGGTTGAGGGCTTGGGGGTTTAGGGTTTAGGGCTTAGGGCTTCAGGGCTTCAGGGCTTCAGGGCTTCAGGGCTTCAGGGCTTCAGGGCTTCAGGGCTTCAGGGCTTCAGGGCTTCAGGGCTTCAGGGCTTCAGGGCTTCAAGGGATTAAGGCTTAGGGTTTCGGCACATACTTCGTTTTTGACTCTTTTGCGTTTTAATTGTTTTCCCTTTTCTTTTTTTGTGAGGGGGGGGAGGGGAGGGGAGGGGAGGGGAGGGGGGGGGGGGGGGGTTATTGTTTATCAGGACCCTAAGGGAAGACTAGTAATCACTCCAAGCCCTAAACCCTAAACCCCTAAACCCCAACCCTAAACTTGTTCATTGTTGGGATAATATAAAAAATTTAAATGTATATTCCTTGTTGGGTTTAAGTACCCTTAAAAATGTAAAATGTTACCCAACTATGACAAGGTAAATCCTAAACTCTAACCCCTTGGCTGACGAATGCCCAGCCTTGGAGCATGAAGCGCTGCTGCTTGGCTTTGATGGCGTCGCACACTGCCTGGTGGCAGAAGAAATGCCCCAAAACAACCAAAACAACCCTAAACCCTCCCTAATCCCTAAACCCTAAACCCTAAACCCTAACCTAAACCCTAAACCCTAAACCCTAAACCCTAAACCCTGAACCCTAAACCCTAGTCTTGGGGTACGGGGTGTAGGGTTTTGATCTGGACCCCTCAGGTTCCAGCAGCCTTTAGATAACATCCCCGTAAAGCACCTTCCCTAAGGGTCCATGTACCTAGAGAGCCGCAAAGGAAGCCAAAAAAATGAAGCTCAGCTTACCCCCAGGGTCCATGTACCGACAAAGGGAATACTTGGGCCTTAAAGCACTTCCTATATAGGGATTCTGGGGTCCAAGTATGTAATTGTGAAGTACATGGGCGCTTAGGGCTTTAAGCCTTCATTGAGGACTAATTTGGTCTTAAGGTAAAACACTCAACTCCAGGCGGCAGTAAGATTTCTTGATGGGGACGCAAAGGCTCAGGATTTGGGGTTTGAAGGGTCTCGACTTGACTTGAGGTTTAGTATAGTAGGGTTGGGGGTTTCGGGTGTAGAAAACCCTTAAACCCTAAACCCTTAAACCCTGCACCCTAAACCCTGAACCCTACACCCTAAACCCGAAACCCTAAACCCTAAACCCTAAACCTAAACCCTCGCATGGGGTTCCGGAGATCGGTTGGCACCTTGAACTGCACGGTGCACACGGACAGCACCTGCAAGCGAGAATGAAAAGGCCACTGCTGTTGCCTGCACCGTTGAGGGGTTTAGGGTTTAGGGGTTTAGGGGTTTAGGGGTTTAGGGGTTTAGGGGTTTAGGGGTTTAGGGGTTTAGGGGTTTAGGGGTTTAGGGGTTTAGGGGTTTGGGGGTTTGGGGGTTTGGGGGTTTGGGGGTTTGGGGGTTTGGGGGTTTGGGGGTTTGGGGGTTTGGGGGTTTAGGGTTTAGGATATAGTTTGCCCTATGCTTACCCACAAAAACAGGGCACCTCAGGGACCAGGCGGTTGAACTCATCGAAGCAACCCCATGAGCCGCTGGCGGAGAGGCCTGCTTCGAAAAGTCTAGGGTTGGGGTTTGGTAGGGTATGGGGTTTAGGGTTTAGGGTTTGGGGTTCAAGGTTTAGGGTTTGAAGTTTGGGGTTTAGGGTTTAGGGTTTAAAGTTGAGGGTTTGGGGTTTTGCAGCTTAGGAACCAGGATTTATGATTTTGAGCGTCCTTTCCTAGGAAGCCAAGGGGCTTAGGGTTCAGGGTTCAGGGCTTGGGGTTTAGGGTTTTGGGGTTTGGGGTTTAGGGTTTAGGGTTTATGGTTAGGGTTTAGGGTTTCTGCTCTGGCCCCCGAAACCCCAAGGCGACGTCACAAGCTGAGCGTGGTCAACCCTACCCAAAACCCCAGACCCTTTATCCCTGAATCTCTAAAGGTTTAAGGTTTAGGGTTTAGGTTTAGGCAGAGGGAACCTTACGTAGGTTAAGGTTTGTGAGGACCCTCAACCCTTGAACTTTAAACCCCTACACCCAAAACCCCCTAACACCTGCCGCCCCTTCTACCTGAAATCCTCAACGCCTAAACTCCCTCATCCTAAACCCTGACCCCTAAACCCTAAACCCTGAACCCTGAACCCTAAACCCTAAACCCTAGACCCCATCATAAACCCTAAAGACTAAAGCCTAAAGCCCAAAGCCCAAAGCCTAAAGCCTAAAGCCTAAACCCTAAACCCTAAACCCTAAACCCTAAACCGAAGCCTTTGTAGATGTCACCCAAGGTCAGGTAGTCCATCTCCGGAGCCGCGTTGATCACGTAGCAGGCCTCGAGGGGTCTCCGATCATTCGGTAGGGTTTAGGGTTTAGGGTTTAGGGTTTAGGGTTTAGGGCTTAGGGCTTAGGGCTTAGGGCTTAGGGCTTAGGGCTTAGGGTTTAGGGTTTAGGGTTTAGGGTTTAGGGTTTAGGGTTTAGGGTTTAGGGTTTAGGGTTTAGTGTTTTTGGGGTTTAGGGTTTGGGGTTTAGGGTTTAGGTTTAGGGTTTTGGCTTTAGGGGTTTAGTGTTGTCGGTGGCCAGCCAGGCAACTTGTAAGCCCCCCAACAACACTTCAATGCCCGTACGAGCCGTAAGCCCTGAACCATAACCGTATATAGTAAAACCCTAAACCCTAAAGCCCATGAAGCCGTAAAACCCTATACCCTAAAACCCGAAACCCCTCAAACCGCAAAACGCTACAACGTTAAAGCCCTAAACCCCAAACCCCTAAACCTCCCTAAACCCCAAACCCTAATTCCTAATCTCTGAACCCTAAACCCTAAACCCTGAATCCCCCCCCCCCACCCCACCACTCAATAATGAGCCCCGGAACCTTGGCCACGGCGTTCGCCAAGTCCTCACTGCGCTGGGCGATGAGCCAAAGACCAATTCACAAACCTAAACCCGAACCCCTTTTAGGGTTTAGGGTATAGGGTTCAGGGTTCAGGGTTCAGGGTTTAGGGTTTAGGGTTTAGAGTTTAGGGTTTAGGGCTTAGGGCTTAGGGTTTTCTAGACTTGGCGGGCTGTATCAGCCCATCAATCGATGACACGTCTGGATTTAGCAGCGCTGTGTGTAAGGAAGCAGAACAATGGGGCTCAGTGTCATTTGATTTTGGGGTTAGGGTTCAGAGTTCAATTCTTAGGGTTTAACCCTAAGCCCTAAACCCTAAACCAAAAACCAAACACCCTGAACCCTAAACCCTAAAACCCAAAAAAAACACGCCGTCCTTGGTGGACTCCGTCTTCCCAGTCCCGGCAGGACCGGCTGGGGCACAGCCCATGCACAAGTGAAGGGCCTGAGCGGTTCGGGGTTCAGGGTTTAGGGTATAGGGTTAAGGGTTAAGGGGTTTAGGGTTTAGGGTTTAGGGGTTTAGGGTTTAGGGTTTAGGGTTTAGGGTTTAGGGGTTTAGGGTTTAGGGTTTAGGGTTTAGGGTTTAGGGGTTTAGGGTTTAGGGTTTCGGGTTTAGTTTAGGTTTAGGGTTTAGGGTTTAAGGCGTTTTTAGGGTTTAGGGTTTAGGGTTTAGGGTTTTAGGGTTTAGGGTTTAGGGTTTAGGGTTTAGGGTTAGGGTTTTTAGGGTTTAGGGTTTAGGGTTTAGGGTTTAGGGTTTAGGGTTTAGGGTTTAGGGTTTGCGGTTTAGGGTTTAGGGTTTAGGGTGCAGGGCTTCAGCACTTTTGGGTTCGGGCTGAGGGAATATGGATTTGCGGTTCAGGGCTGTTTGGTTCGGGAGTAGCTGCAAGCAGGGTTTCGAGCACCCTTAAGCTCAACCTCCTTCATGCGCACCCCGGATACAAACATGCATATAGCCCTACAAGACTGTCAGGTGTTGGGGTTTGGGGTTTAGGGTTTGCGGTTTAGGGTTTGCGGTTTAGGGTTTAGGGTTTAGGGTTTAGGGTTTAGGGTTTAGGGTTTAGGGTTTAGGGTTTAGGGTTTAGGGTTTAGGGTTTAGGGTTTAGGGTTTAGGGTTTAGGGTTTCGGGCTTAGGTTGAGCCAAAATCGCTGGGAAAGGTTAGGGTTTAGGGTTTAGGGGGAGTCGAGGATGCCGAGGCCTGCAGTCCGAGGTTTAGGCTTCTTCGAAAGCCCGGGAAATATCATGTCTACACCTTTGAAGGCAGCCGCGGTTTAGGGTTTAGGGTTTAGGGTTTAGGGTTTAGGGTTTAGGGTTTAGGGTTTAGGGTTTAGGGTTTAGGGTTTAGGGTTTAGGGTCTAGGGTTTGAGTCCTGAACCCTACACCCTAACCTCCTAACCCCCTAAACCCTGAACAGCCCAAACCCTAACCCCTACACCCCCAAACCCTGAACCCTCAACCCCAAACCCCAAACCCTAAACCCTAACCCTAAACCCTAAGCCAAACCTAAACATAGGCCCCCTCTGGCTTTTGAAAAAAGTTGGAGCCACGGGGAGGAGTAACCCTAAACCCTAAACCCTAAACCCTAAACCCCAAACCCGAAACCCTAAACCCCCAAGCCCTAAACCCTGTCGCCCACACCCCGCCTGCGTCGCCGTGACGTAGATTCGGTCCGTCAGCGGCGTCACCACGAGCCGGGGTCCGTTGCCCAGGTACTCCTGGGAATTGGGTTTAGGGTTTAGGGCTTAGGGTTTGGGGTATAGGGTTTGGGGTCTAGGGTTTAGGGTTTGGGGTTGGGGCTTGGGGATTCGCGGGCTCTATGGGCTTTACGGACTTTACGGGCTTTCTGGGCTTTGTGGCCTTAGAGCTTAATTGGGGTGTGATCTGTAGAAGGGTTTGGGGCTTCGGGATTTTGAAAAACTCGGCCTTCCCATGGCAACGGCACAGTACCAGCTTAGAATAGTTTTGCGGGGTAAGGGTGGCGGGCGTCTGGCGGGGGTTTGAGCCCTTGGGCCGAAGAGCGAAACTCAACACCCCCGCGCCAAACCCCAAACCCCGAACCCCAAACCCGAAACCCCAAACCCTAAACCCTAAACCCCGAAACCCGAAACCCTAAACCCGAAACCCCACACCCCAAAACCTAAACCCTATTTCACAGTTGAGATCCAGGAGTTGGGCTGCGAATTTGAAAACAGACTTCCAAGGCTTCGCTCGAGATATAGGGTTTCGGCTTCAGGGTTTAGGGTTCAAGGGTCAAGGGTTTAGGGTTTAGGGTTTAGGGTTTAGGGTTTAGGGTTTAGGGTTTAGGGTTCAGGGTTCAGGGTTTAGGGTTGAGGGTTTAGGGTCCCTAAGCCACACAACTCTAAACTCCGCTTCAGACACCCTCAACCAAACCTGGGGAAACGCCAAGCGGAGGTCCTTCATCATGAGCATTCAAGAATCTTCAAGAACCCCAAACCCTAAACCCTAAACCCTAAACCCCAAACCCTAAACCCTAAACCCTAAACCCTAAACCCTAAACCCTAAACCCTAAACCCTAAACCCTAAACCCTAAACCCTAACCCTAAACCCTTAACCCTAAACCAAAACCCTAAACCCTAAACCCTAAACCCTAAACCCTAAACCCTAAACCCTAAACCCTAAACCCTAAACCCTAAACCCTAAACCCTAAACATTACGTTTGTCATCTTGAGGGTTGCGGTTCCCTAGTTGGAAACACAGATGCTCACATCCATCTTCGGAGTCGCGATCTGCTCCACAGGGTTTAGGGTTTAGGGTTTAGGGTTTAGGGTTTAGGGTTTAGGGTTTAGGGTTTAGGGTTTAGGGTTTACTTCGCGTTTCGTCTGGACTCAAGATTGGTGCAGGGCCTTGAACGAAACAAATGCCGTGACCTTTCAAGTCGCAGGTGATCAAGTGAAGCCAGAAAGCATTAGCATCTTAAGACGTGTGACAAGTTGGCACATCGTGATTTGGAATTCGGTGTCACGTGTCTCACACGTGCTGCATGGCCCTTTGCCACGGCGCTGTGCACCTTTAACCTACAAACCGAGGGCTTCGGGGCTCTAGGGGCTTAGCAACTTCAGGCTGGGGATTTTAGGGTTTAGGGTTCAGGGTTTAGGGTTTAGGGCTTAAGCCCTAGTATACAGGGGGAGGCACACAAACCTCACTTCTGTCTCAAAGGCGGGGCGCGTAACCGTAGGGCAGCTTGGCATCCGCGATCTCCATGGATGCATCATCAATATCCTGTCTAAACCCTGGTTTAGGGTCTATGGTTTAGGGTTTAAACCCCTGAGCCTTAATCCCGAAACGCTAACCCGAACCCCCCCCTCCCCCCCGAGAAAAAATAGAGGGTTTAGGGCTGTTGGGCTGTCAGTTCTTCGAATTGGGGGCCTGTCACACAAAGACCCACTAAACCCTAAACCCTAAGCCCGAAGCCCTCAAACCCCAAACCTGCAGAGGCAATGGCTCAGAGACAAGGATGTTCCCGAGTCTAGGGTTGCGGGTTTCGGGTTCTGGGTTTCCAAAGAACTGGCAATTGTACAGTGGCTTAGGGTTTAGGGTTTAGGGCCTCCAGCTAGGGTTCAGGGTTTAGGTTTTTTGTTTTTGAGGGGAGGAGGGGTGTTCCTTTCTTTGGGGAGTCGACGATACCAGACTGGAAAAGGAAGCGGGAGCACCTACTTGTTGAAACTCGCACGTGGGTCTAGCGAGGTAGGGTCCAGGGTTAGGGCGCGTTTGACCAGATATGGGGGGTTTAACGAGAATAAGGGGCCCCTAAAATAGACACCAAAATAGCAGGATTCCCTTATAATAAGGACCCCAATAAGGTAACCCTAAACCCTAAACCCCAAACCCTAAACCCTAAACCCTAAACCCTAAACCCTAAACCCCAAACCCCAAACCCCAAACCCTAAACCCTAAACCCTAAACCCTAAACCCTAAACCCTAAACCCTGAACCCTAAACCCTGAACCCTGAACCCTAAACCCTAAACCCTAAACCCTGAACCTTAAATCCTAAACCCTAAACCCTAAACCCTAAACCCTAAACCCTAAACCCTAAACCCATATCCAAGAAGCGGCAACTCTAGGCCTTTTGCAGCCCTAGCCCTCGAACCCGAAACCACCCCGGGACGCGGACGCCCCGAACCCTGAACCTCTGAGCTCTGAAGCCCCTTTTAGGGTTTAGGGTTTAGGGTTTGGGGTTTGGGGTTTAGGGTTTGGGGTTTAGGGTTTAGGGTTTGGGGTTTAGGGTTTAGGGTTCAGGGTTCAGGGTTTAGGGTTTAGGGTGTAGGGTTTCAAGTTCCTGCACTTTAGGGTTTCGGGTTATGGGGCTTAGGGGGTCTAAGCCCTATAACCCGAAACCCTGAAGTGTAGGAACTTTGACACAATTATTGGGTCCTTAAGTGAGGCGGGTTCATGGGGGGTAGGTACCTGAGGAACCTTAGGGAAGCTTCGGGAGCCTTAGCGAGTACTGGGGCGTACTAGGGACCTTGAGTTACATGCCCCTCCCAGAAGGAAGGAACCCTAAACCCTAAACCCTAAACTCTAAATGTGGTCCTCCTTCCAATAGCACTTGAGCATGCTCTGCCACTGGAAGGCATCCTTGCTGTTCACCTTCTCCAGCACCAGACCTGGCGCGCAAGGCTACGGCTTGGGGGTTCGGGGCGACCCCCCTAATCTCTGGTCCCAAGCTCCGGGGTTTAGGGCTTAGGCTTTAAGGTTTAGGGTTTAGGGTTTAGGTCTTCGGATTTCGGGCTTAGGGCTTCGGGCACCCTGAACCATTCGGGACTATTGGCTCTCAGAACTACGCGTAGCCGCAACTTGGAACGGTCCCATGTCGCACGGAGGCAGCACCCTACACCCAGCCCTACAACCTAAAACCCTAAAACCCTACCACCCGACAACCCTAGCCCCTAAAACCCTAAAACCCCAAAAGCCCAAAAACCCGAAAACCCAAAAACCCGAAAACCTAAAAACCTTAAACCCTAAAAACCCGAAAGCACTAAAGCCACCCTGAAACCCTAAACCCTAAAACCCTACCACCCTGAAACCCTAGACCCTAAAACCCCAAAACCTTGGCACCCGAAAATCTAAAACTCGAAAACCCGGAAAAACCTTGAAACCTGAAGAAAAAAACTAGAACCTTGAAACCCTAAAACCCGAAAAACCTAAAACCCTACCACCCCAGGATCCTAAAACCCGATAACTGTAGCACCCTAACACCCAAAAACCCGCAAAACCCTAAAACCCGAAAACCCCAAAAAAACCCAAAAAACCCTCAGACGCCAAAAAGCCTAAAAACCCTAAAAACCCCCAAAACCCCAAACTCTCCTCTACACACCCTGAGGATCTTATTCAGGAATAGCCGAACCCTACATCCTAAACCCAAAATCCTAAACCCACACCGCAATCATCTTCCATCTAGTTGTCGGGGAGTGTCGTGGGATTCTTTCAGTTTCAGGATTGTTAGCTGGTTGGCTCCTTTAGGCCTAGGCCCCGCTCGCCGACCCTATTAACCCGAAACCGAAACCCCAAACCTTAACCCTAAACCCTAAACCCTACAACCCTAGACCCTAAACCCTAAACCCTCAACCCTAAACCCCAAAACCGTGGCGCAGAAGCCTGGCACTACAACTCGCGGCTCCACGTAGACCGGAACAATTCCGACCTCTCCTGGCCAATAGCTTCTGGCCGACGCACTCCAGCTTCAACCTTTGGGTCTAAGACCCGGTCGCCTTTCACAATGTACACTGGCCAAGTGCCACTGAGGACGCACAGATCCTCGTCCCGAGGGACATGCAGTGGCGTTTGCTCTAGTCTTGATGCCAAGCCCTGCTGCGGCATGTCCAGAGCTCGGGGGTTTAGGGGTTTAGGATTTAGGGTTTAGGGTTTAGGGTTTAGGGTTTAGGGTTTGGGGTTTAGGGTTTAGGGTTTAGGGTTTAGGGTTTAGGGTTTAGGGTTTAGGGTTTAGGGTTTAGGGTTTAGGGTTTAGGGTTTAGGGTTTAGGGTTTAGGGTTTAGGGTTTAGGGTTTAGGGTTTAGGGTTTAGGGTTTAGGGTTTAGGGTTTAGGGTTTAGGGTTTAGGGTTTAGGGTTTAGGGTTTAGGGTTTAGGGTTTAGGGTTTAGGGTTTAGGGTTTAGGGTGAGCCTCTGAAAAGTCGCGCCTGAATAAGATCCTCAGGGAACAAGTTGCTTCAAAAAACATTCCCCAAGGGCCTGCTATCTTAGGGTAGTTACATGGTCCCTGTATATCGGCCCTTTAAACGGGGACCCCCCTTGTATGCCCCTGAAAAAAGCCTCTACAAATTGAGGGCCCATACTTCAGAACCCTGTAAAGGACGTACGGCACCATATTAAGGGCCCATGCAACGCCTAAACCCTAAACCCTCAGCCCTAAACCCTCAGCCCTAAACCCCTCAGCCCTAAACCCTAAACCCTAAACCCTAAACCCTAAACCCTGAATCCTCAACCCTGAATCCTGAACCCTGAATCCTGAACCCTAAGATAAGAAGGGCTCCGGGACCCCTGGAAGCCTAGGAGTTCCGGGTCTTTGGAAGTGGAGCATGGAGGTCCCTGAGCCCCCAAAGAGACAAACCCAAAAACATCAAAGCCCTAGAAGCTCTAAAGGCTCAAACCCAAAACCTAAACGCCCAGGAAAAAAAAAAAAAAAAAAACCGTAAGCCGCAAACCCTCAACCCAAGAAGGTATCCCTAATGACAAAAGAACACGCAAAAGAAAGCTGGGCTGCTGGCGCTCTTGCACGTCTCGGTTGTGGGCATCCAGGGTGATGGCGCACATGATCTTCTGCCTCGAAATTGGCGTTTAAGGTGTGGGGTTTGAGGTTTAGGGTTTAGGGTTTGGGGTTTAGGGTTTAGGGTTTAGGGTTTAGGGTTTAGGGTTTAGGCTTTAGGGTTTGGGGTTTGGGGTTTAGGGTTTAGGGTTTAGGGCTTAGGGTTTAGGGTTTAGGGTTTAGGGTTTAGGGTTTAGGGTTTAGGGTTTAGGGTTTAGGGTTTAGCCTTGAACCCCCCTCCCTTAAGAACCCTATAAAGCCCTGAGACTCTGGAAGCCCGACAGCCCAAGAGCACCTCTAAACTCATCACAGGATATGGGGGTTTACGAAAAAAAGGGACCCCAATCTAGATCCCCCAAATAGTACCCTTCTAAGAAGGACCCAAA